CAAAATATCTCATTAGATTTTATAGATTCAATTCAAATTAATTTACTTTTTTTTTTGCAATATTCTCCATTTAATTTTCCAAATTAATTGTTTTTTTTTTAAAGTAATATAAGTAAGTCCAAATATATATAGTAAGAGAATCTGAATAAAATAAAAAATGGAAAATTATGATATATTACATGCATTAAATCCAAGTTTACTCAACAGAGTCCCAAAACACTCTATAGTACACGAAGAGTTCCAATGTAAATAAATAAGTGAAGCGTTTTTCTCCCTTCACATCATTTCCCAGACAAATATTCCTCCCTCTGCAGACATGGACAGAAAGAGGAGTTCAGAAAAACAAACACCAACAAGCTGTGAATGAATAAGTAAACAGGCCCTTATCAATGGCAAGTTCCAAGATGAAGAAGATGAAGAAAGAAGATGCAATTCCTGGTTTAATCGACATAGTCCTTTCTTGGCCCTTATCTGATATAATGACCCAGCATCTTTACGGAGACAAGGTCGTACTTTCGGGAAATTCTACGGTCTCGTTACGGTACCACCCCTCCGGTGTTTTAACCGTTCAATCCACTCGACGGGATGGTACCGTAACGGGGACTATAGCATTTCCCTTACTTTCAACACAAATTCCATCTTTTTTCTTATGCTCTTTTTTTTTTTTTCCCTTCCCTTTTAAAAATTGTTTATAATGTGAAATGTTTTGAACCACTTGAGCAGTTAAATCCGATCCCGGACACTTTCACCACTGCAAAACATTACCTGAACTCGTTCGTGCTCCCACTCGTCGAGGAGACGCGTGCCGACCTTCGTTCGTGCGTGGAGGGCGTGCGCTCGGCGTGAGAATGCGCAAGAAATTCGAAACTGAAACTTCCAAGAACTCCTTTCTGTACCGGTTGACTCTGAAGAGGAGCAGCAGAAACCCGAACACGGGGGCCTATGAACCCGCGTGCGGGGACCTGATCGCGCTAACCGAGGCGAGACCAAACTGTGTCGACGACTTGAACGGGCGTAGAAGACAGTACCTCGTTGCTTTCGTTAGTCGTGCGCAGTTTCAAGGCAATGCCATTACTGTCCTGTCCTCCCAACCCATTGCCTTCGAGAGAAATGATGGCGGCAAGCGGGACCCGCTCTTTGCCGTTTATCTTACCAACTTGACGACCAACATCCGGATATGGAGTGCGCTGCACCCGGGCAAAGGAGCAAATATGAGGATCATTAACTCCGTGCTCGGAGTTAATCCATCTGTAAGAAAACTAATCTTATACACATTTTGTTAGTAATCAGGACTTATGTAGCTCTCTTATCATATTGTGCGCAGATAGAAGAGAACTGCACAATTTGCTCCTCCAACGAAACCAACACAAACAAACTGTCCAAGACTGGGGAAGCAGCAGCTGACTTGCTCGGTCTCAACGACTCCCAGCGGGATGCCATTGTGGACAGCCTGGCATTGACGGAATGCTGCCACCACCGGAACACAGTGAAGCTTCTGTGGGGTCCGCCGGGGACCGGGAAGACGAAAACGATCGCCACGCTGGCATCCGCCCTGCTCAAGACGAGGCGGAGGGCGCTGGTGTGCGCCCCGACGAATGTGGCCGTCATGGGAATCGCGAAGCGACTGGTGACCTGTCTAGGTGGGGGGAATAATCCAGTGCATGCCGCGTACGGTTTTGGGGATGTGGTTTTGTTTGGAAACGGAAAGAGAATGATGATAGATGAGCACGAGGATCTTCACGATGTGTTTCTCGATAACCGTGTGTCCGCACTAATTAAGTGTTTGAACCCCTCGTCCGGGTAGACGGGTAGTGTCGATCAGATGGTGGGCCTACTTGAGTATCCCTGGGAACACTACCGACAGTACTTGGACCAACAGAGGCCCGAAAGTGATGCATTGAATGTTCCGTGGACGTTTGAGGAGTTTGTAATGAAGACATTTGCTGTTGTTAGAGACCGGTTAATCTTTTGTATAACAGGGTTTTGTACTCATTTACCGACCTCGTTTATTCCTCGGGTGACCGTAAAGAAAATGATTGATATCCTTGACATGCTGAAACAATTTAATGCATTCCTGCATAATGCGGATACAGGAAATAAAGGGTGGTTTGAGGAAGCTCTGATTGAGAAGGAGGATTCTGGAGGGACCACACCAAACACGACTTTATGTATGATCAGGCTAAAGTGCCTGAAAGCACTCAAGTTCCTTAGAGAAAATCTCCAGGTCCCGCGTCGTAAAGGATATGTTGGAATGAAGAACTTTTGTTTGAAAAATGCGTGCTTAATTTTCTGCACCGTCTCGAGCTCGGCAAAGCTGCACATCAAAAAAATGAAACCGTTTGAAATGGTGATAATCGATGAAGCTGCACAGCTTAAAGAATGTGAATCGTGTATCCCATTGCAGCTTAATGGAGTCCGGAATGCCATACTTGTTGGCGATGAGAAACAACTTCCTGCAATGGTCATCAGCAAGGTTTACTACATTCATCTCGGAAATTGTACATTCTCTTATTGTCTCATTTTTCAGTTATTTAACATTATTTCTTTTATTATGTTTGATGACAGACTTGTGAGAAAGCTGGTTTCGGGAGGAGTTTATTCCAGAGGCTTGTTATGTTAGGGCACGGCAGGCACCTGCTAGACATTCAGTACCGAATGCATCCATCCATAAGTTTGTTCCCCAATAAGGAGTTTTACGGGGAACGGATTACGGATGGTCAAATTGTCACTGAAAAAGCATACGAAAAGCGCTTCCTAAAAGAACAACAGTTCGGTTCGTATTCTTTCATTAACATGACTCACGGGATGGAGGAGCTTGATAGTAGGCATAGCTGGATAAATACAGCAGAGGTGTCCGTGGTGGCTCAGATAGTCTCCAGACTCAGTAAAGGCATGTAGATGTAGTTATCATATTTTGAACTTGCACTAATCATTATTTATTAACTTAACAATTTTGATCCAATAAATACTTTTCATTTGTTTACGCAGAATGCCGCAACTCAAAGCAAAAGGTCCGAGTCGGATGCCTGTCTCCATACAAAGGCCAGGTTGCTGCAATTCAAGAAGAACTTGGAAATACATACAGCACAGACTCAAAAGACGAGTTTTCAGTTAACGTGCGCACGGTCGATGGCTTTCAAGGTGGGGAAGAGGATGTGATCATAATCTCGACCGTTAGGTGCAATAGGAATGGATCTGTTGGCTTTCTCGACAATCATAACAGGACGAATGTGGCCTTGACTCGAGCAAGGTAGTCAGTCAATGGCTCATACATATTCTTACATGACTTTGTTTGGTATGTTTGAAGTTTGTAATAAAGTGGGTCATCTTGGCAGGTACTGCTTGTGGATAATAGGAAATAGCTCAACTCTGTTAAACAGCGGCTCAGTTTGGCAGAGGTTGGTTATAAATGCGAATAAACGTGGCTGTTTTTATAATGCTTATGAGGATGTGAACTCAGCTATCGGGGTTGGTGACGCCTTAATTGAGCTTCGCCAGCTGAATTCGCTGTTTAGTACGGATTCTGTACTGTTCAAAGAGGCAAAGTGGAAGGTATGCTCGCTTTGAATACAGAATTTGAAAATTACCTTTTTATTAATGTGGATATTATGGTTAGGTTAGCACTAAAACAAATTGAAAAAATAGTATTAACTACTGAATCTTTACTGTTTCTAATGTGCAGGTTTACTTCAATCGTGATTTCCATCAGTCGATTAGTAGATATCGTGACTTGGGAATGCTCAAACAGCTGGTTGCTCTACTGGAAAAGCTTTCAAATGGGTGGCGCCAGAAGAACAAAGTCAAGACGGTGGAGGACACTTATCAGCTTCTGGAACTGTGTGATGTGAAGGGCCCGCTAAAACTGATTTGGACGGTCGACATTCTCGGAGAAGATTCAACCGACACGCAAGTCATCAAGATTCTTGATATCCTGCCGCAATCTGAGATAGCAGAAATGGCGAAAAAATTCAATGTCGTGTTGGGAAATTACACCGTGAATCAGATGAACCGTTGTCTGTGCAAGAAAACCGAAGGGTAAGCAAACGATATTTTTTAGGCAAAAGCACTAAAAGCACTTTGTTTTTACTTTTTATATGTTCTTTAAGAATGTCCTCTACTAATGACATATGAGTCGATGCAGGGATTTGTTGGTTCCAATGACGTGGCCAGTTGATGCGATCTCAGGAAGTAGTGAGCTAGCCACCCGACTAGCCGCTATCAGCTTGAGGGATGACGAGCCAGCTAGACCAGTCACTATAAGAAGGTACTATTTTGTAAGAAGGAAAAGAAAAGGAAACTGTGGTTTTTATGGGATTTTGATTTTGTCGGTGCAAAATTAGAAACATTCTAAATTTAGCTTCCCCTATACAACAGGAATCACAGCGAGTGGAAGTGGAAAATACGCAGCTCCACGAAGATGGACTAATCTTGGTCATCCATCGAGTATCTTTAGTCTAAACTTAGCAGCTCTTCAGCTCTTTGTGAAGAATGCCTGCAGATTAAATTTCACCACATGACATTTTTTTTTTTTCTTTGTTATAATGTTGATGACGAAACCAGAGGATATTTTGTGTAAGCATGCAACGTTAAGTTTCCGCGTAAAACAAATTTCATTTGCGTGTGATATTTTTCTGGTTAATTAAGTTGTCTTCCATATTCTTCCTCTAGCCTAGCTGTGTGCTGCTTTAAAACATGCTCAAGTTCAACCTCGAAATGCCTTACTTAGGCCTAATCCTAATATTTTCAGCACTCCTTCCCTTAGTTGACTTGACGCTGTGCACTTAATTTGCCGGTGCCTCTCGAGCCAAGGCCACCCCTGAAGTTAGGCTTGTAACATGAAGATGTATAGATTTTAAAGGATGATTTGCAGCAAGGTAGTTGAGATAAAACAGGAAATGATAAGATAGATACGAGGAAAGTGAAATATTCTTGACGGAATGGTTCCGTCAGTGTTGGTTACCGTAGATTATCCACACAAGATAATCCATACGTGTATCCAATGGTGAAAAAAAAAATAAATATAAAAGTAAAAAAAAGAAGAGAGAAACATAAGAGTTGGTGGGCTAAAATTGCACTCTTTCCCAATGGAGCCTGTTTTCAAAGCACGTAGTAAATGAAACACAAGAAGTCCCATGCAAACGTACTGTGAAGTAAACGAAGAGTCATTTTGTAAAGAAACGAGGCGCTTACTCTGTTTCCCATAAAGATATCATCTTAATAATGCAACAACACTACTAAAAAAACAAGATACAGATCAAACTAATCACAACAGTTGTGAACTAAACTTTGGGTCCTAGTAAACATTTCTAGAAGATAAATAGAGTGAGTGAGAAAGAGAGAGAGAGAGAGAGAAATAATGGGCTCTAAGATGATGATGAAGAAGGAAGAAGATGATTTTATCGACTTGGTTTTCTCTTGGTCCATACCTGATTTAATGAACCAACATCTTTACAAGGACAAGGTAAAATATATTGCATTCTTAATTTCCAAAACCTTTTGCTTAAATCTTGTTAATTAAGGGAAGTAAATGGCCATTTGTCTGCTTCTTTCTAGAAAAGAACTTCTAAGAATTACTCAATTTTTTTTTTTGTTCGTACTTGATTATTATCGATCGGAAGGTAAATCCGATACCGGACACTTTCACCTCAGCACAACATTACCTGAACTCGTTTATCGACCCGCTTATTGAGGAGACGCATGCCGACCTTCATTCGAGCCTGATGAGTTTGCATTCGGCGCCATTGTGCGAAATATCAGACGTGAAAAAGGACAAAAAATTCAATCCTCCCAAGAACTTGGTCTACTCTATTAAAACCTTGAAAAAAGCGGACCAAAAAGCGAGGACTACGTACGAGCCCGAGTGTGGGGATTTGTTTGCTCTAACAGAGGTCAGACCAAAGTGTGTGGACGACTTGAACGGGCGTCAAATGTCGTATGTGATTGCTTTAGTTGGAGGCGTAGATGACGAAGCCTCGGTGATCAGCATACTGTCCTCCAAACCCATTGTGTTCGATAAGGCGGACGAGGAAAAGGGTGAGAAGGGGAGCCCACTCTTCGCCGTTTATCTAGTAAATTTGACGACAAACAGACGTATATGGAAAGCGCTTCATCCGGACGAAGGAGCAAATTTGAGGATCATTAAGTCCGTCCTCCAAGTTTATCCATCTGTAAGCAAATCTCAAATTCAAACGAACCTCCATCTTAATCCTCTTGGTTTTTGTTTTTCCTTAGTATATAGTATTAATATATATCCACACAACATTATCAAGAGTAGAGTACTATCTTGTTTCTTTACACCTTACAACAATAACATTATCACTATATATAAACTGTGCAGACGAAAGAGAAATGCCCCATTTGCTCCTTCAAAATACAAATAATGACGGCAATAGCTGCTGCTGCTGACGTGCACGGTCTCAACGACTCCCAACGAGAAGCCGTCCTCGACAGCCTGGCGCTGGCACAATGCAGCCACCGGAACACAGTGAAGCTGCTGTGGGGCCCACCAGGGACCGGGAAGACAAAAACGGTCGCCACCCTTGTATCCGCCCTGCTCAAAACAAGACACAGGACATTGGCCTGTGCGCCTACAAACGTGGCTATTATAGGAGTCGCAAAGAGGCTGATGACCTGTCTTGTTGGGAGGAATTCAATTCCAGGGTACGGATTCGGGGATGTGATCCTGTTCGGAAACGGGAAGAGAATGAAAATCGACGAGCACAAGGAGCTGCATGATGTATTTCTTGATCACCGTGTGTCCGTATTGGCTACATGTTTTGCCCCGATAACTGGATGGAATGGCAGCCTGAATGAGATGATCAACCTACTTGAGGACCCCACTGGCCAGTACCAAAAGTACTTGGCGGAGCAGAATGGCGAAAGTGATGATGAAGAGGATGCATCCAAGCCATCAAGCGGGTTGTTGAGTTGGTTTTGGAGGAAGTTAATCATTCAAGATGTGAAGGAAATGAAGGAAAAGGGAAAACTAGAAAAAAAGAAGAAGATGGTTACACGACCCAAGAAAGAAGAGTCAACAGAACACTGGACATTCGAGGAATTTGTTACCAATACATTTATAGCCGTTCGAGATCGTTTAATCGTTTGTGAAGCTGGGCTGTGTACTCATCTCCCTACTTCGTATCTCTCTTTGGAAATTCTAAAGAAGATGATTGAAGCCCTCGACATGCTCAGATTGTATGAAACTCGCCTGCATATAAAACCGGGTACTGGAAACGAGCGTTGGTTTGAGCAACCCTCGGTCAGATCAGGAAATGCTACTTTGTTTAAGATAAGGCTACAGATCCTAAGCCTAGAGTGCCTGAATGGACTGAGATTCCTTAGAGAAAAATTCCAGGTCCCTCTACTTCAAGACTATTTTGCAATCAAGCAGTTTTGCCTGCAAAATGCGTGCTTAATATTTTGCACCGTCTCAAGCTCAGCCAAGCTGCATACCGAGGGAATGAAGCCCATAGAACTGGTGATAATAGATGAGGCTGCGCAGCTCAAAGAGTGTGAATCATGTATTCCTTTGCAGCTTAACGGAATCCGACATGCCATACTCGTTGGTGACGAGAAACAACTTCCTGCAATGGTCATCAGCAAGGTTTGAACTTTTTTAATATATAGTAACTGATCAAGTTTTCATTTTTCTATTCTCTACCATGGATAAATTTCTTGTCCTGATATGACAGATCTGTGAGAAAGCTGGCTTTGGGAGGAGTTTATTCGAGAGGCTTGTGATGTTAGGACATGGCAAGCACCTGCTCAACATACAGTACCGAATGCATCCCTCCATAAGTTTGTTCCCTAATAAAGAGTTCTATGCGAACAAAATTAGCGACGGCCCAAACGTCACTGGAAAAGTCTACGAAATGCGCTTTCTAAAGGAAAAAATGTTTGGTTCATATTCTTTCATTAACGTGACGCACGGGAAAGAGGAGTTTGACAGTCGGCATAGTCGGAAAAACGTAGCGGAGGTGTCTGTGGTGGCCCAGATAGTATCCAGACTCAGTAAAGGCATGCATTATCGAAATTTTTTTAGAACTTCACAATTTCAGGTCAACAAATTTTTTTTTTTTTTTTTTTTCATTTGTTTATGCAGAATGTATCAGCTCGAAGCAAAAGGTCAGGGTCGGTTGTCTGTCTCCATACAAAGGCCAGGTGTTTGCAATTCAGGAAGCACTTGGAAAGACATACAGCTCGGATCCAAAGCACGTTTTTTCGGTTACCGTGCGCACGGTTGACGGCTTTCAAGGTGGGGAAGAGGATGTGATCATAATCTCGACCGTCAGGTGCAATGGAAATGGATCTGTTGGCTTTCTCGATAATCATAACAGGACGAATGTGGCCTTGACTCGAGCAAGGTAGTTAGTTTGTTAATGGCTGCATATTACTAATTTGGTCTGAGTTTAATTGCATGGACCTTCTTTGGCAGGTATTGCCTGTGGATAATAGGCAATAGCTCCACTCTTTTGAATAGCGGATCGGTTTGGCAGAAGTTGGTTATAAATGCAAAAAACCGTGGCTGTTTTTATAATGCTTACGAGGACGTGGATTTGTCTATGGCTGTTGGTAATGCCTTAATTGAGCTACGCCAGCTGGATTCGCTGTTTAGTATGGATTCTGTACTGTTCAAAGTGGCTAAGTGGAAGGTATGCTTGCTTTTGAACAAAATTTTGAAGAAAAAATAGTATTAACTGCTGAATCTTTACTGATTCCAATGTGCAGGTTTGCTTCACTCGCGAATTCCATCAGTCGATTACTAGATATCGTGACTTGGGAATCCTCAAAGAGCTGGTTGCTCTACTGGTGAAGCTTTCAAACGGGTGGCGCCAGAAGAAGAAAGTCGAGACAGGAGAGGACACTTGTCAGCTTCTGGAACTGTGTGATGTCAGGGGCCCGCTAAAACTGATTTGGACGGTCGACATTCTCAGAGAAGATTCAACCGACACACAAGTCATCAAGATTCTCGATATCCTGCCACATTCCGAGATAGCAGAAATGGCGCAAAAATTAAATGCTATGTCGGAAAATTACACCGTGAGTCAAATGAACCGTTGTCTGTGCAAGCAAACTGATGGGTATGATAATCTAACTGTTTTTCTGCCAAAAGCACTTACTAAGCCCCTCTTTCTTTCTAGTTCTGTAAAAATGTCGTTTACTACAAATGACACGTGATTCGATGCAGGGATTTGATGGTCCCGATGACGTGGCCAGTTGATGTGAAGGCAGGAAGTGGTTATTCAAGTAGTGAGCTGGCCACCCAACTAGCAGCTATTGGTTTGAGAGATGAGCCAGCTGGATCATTCACTACAAGAAGGTATATTAGTTATGGCTTTCTTCAAATATTTTTTGACTAGCTAGTCTGTTTCATTCACTGCAAGAGAAAATTGTAATCCTCAATGATCATTGTGCTGTTATTGGTAATTTTAGTCCCTCTTGAATAAAAGGAAAGAACAAATATGGGCTTGATGAGAATCTTCTTAGTTTGATTTTTTCTTCACCACAGGAATAGTAACAGCACTTGGAACTTTAGGAAAAATGGCAGGGAAGATAGCAGCCGGAAGTGGAACCATCACGGCTAGATGAAGATCGACATATCTCTGCCATTCGTATCGTATTAAGACTCTCTTTTCGGCAGCATTTTTAGTTCTTTCGTCATGGCCTGTTAATCCTCACCAGCAACATTTTGTTTCTTGTTAGCTGTTATTGGTGTGAAAACTCAGAGCTAAAATATCAAAGATCAAAAATGTTTTATTTCATATGTGCAGAGAATACAAAGTTCGGCCTTTTATTTACATGCATAGTAGTAAAACGACGTCGCATTCTTAGTTTATCACAAGCACTGCAAAACGATGTCATCTCCTTAATAAAACGGTAAACCAAAAATAAAACGTGAACACGAGTTTTACAAGAGAAAAGGAAAAATCAAATGAAGGCCAGTTATATCTGCACGGCTTCTGCACACACATTTGAACTTGATCTTCTACACCCCCTCCTCAAGTTGGAGTGGGGAAGAGCGTGACACACCCAACTTGCACAACCATCGACGAAACACTGGAAGAGGAAGCAATTTGGTGAAGAAATCTGCAATCTGAGCAGTAGAGGGAACATATGAAGGCATGATGAAGCCAGCCTTGTACTTGTCACGCACGATGTGACAATCAATCTCGAGGTGTTTGGTGCGCTCATGGAAGACGGGATTGGCCGTGATGTGCAATGCAGCACGATTGTCACACCAAAGATTGATAGGTAAGGTGGGCTGCAACTGAAATTCCTTAGCCAGGCAAAAAATCCATTGTAACTCACACACAGTTGTCCCCATAGCTCTATATTCTGCCTCGGCTGAGGAACGAGCAACAGTGACCTGCTTCTTACTCTTCCAAGAGATGAGACTATCACCCAAGAAAACACAGTAACCAGTAATAGAGCGTCTTGTATCCTTGCATGTGGCCCAATCAGCATCACAGAAGGCAGAGAGAGCACTGTTGGGAGATGAGCTGAGAACTAGGCCAAGATCAGTTGTACCCTTAAGATATCGAAGAATGGAGATAGCAGCTTCCCAATGAGCAGTAAAAGGATTGTTGACAAATTGGCTTAGTTGTTGAATAGCATAGCTCACATCAGGTCTGGTCAGGTTTAGGTAGAGTAACCTACCAATTAGCCTTCTGTACTTGTTAGGATCATCCAATGGCTGTCCTTCAAAGCCTGTTAGCCTCAGTCCTTGTGGCAGAGGTGTCCCAGCTATTTTGCAATCTTCTAATCCCATGTCATGTAAAATGTCAGTAATGTACTTCTTTTGGCTGAGATGTAACCCTCCATCAACAGAAGAAATCTCAATTCCCAAGAAGTACTTAGCAACACCAAGATCCTTGATGGTGAAGAGGCTGTGTAGGTAACCTTTCAAAGCACAAATGTCACTGTGGTTTGATCCCATAACTAAGACATCATCAACATACACCAGCATAGCCAAAAAATGTTGTCCAGTGACCTTAGTAAAGAGACAATGATCTTGAGGGGATTGGTGTAAACCAAATTCCAGCAATCTTTTTGAGAGTTCACAGTTCCATTCTCTTGAAGCTTGTTTCAACCCATAGAGGCTTTTAAGTAACTTGCAAACTTGTCCCTTGTTCCCTTTTGTATACCCCTGAGGTAATTTCATATACACTTCTTCTGAAAGATGTCCATGCAAGAAGGCATTATTGACATCCAATTGCCATATAGGCCAATCATTTTGAGCAGCCACAGCTATAAACATTCTAACTGTCACTAGCTTTGCCACTGGAGAGAAAACCTCAAAGTAGTCTACCCCTTCCACTTGGTTAAAACCCTTGGCCACCAATCTTGCTTTGTACCTCTCTATTGTTCCATCAGCCTTTCTTTTTATTTTATAGACCCATTTTGAACCAATAGCCTTCTTTCCTTGAGGCAAATAGGAGAGTTCCCATGTATTATTTTTCTCAAGGGCCTGTAACTCCATATCCATGGCTTCTACCCAAAGCTGGTCTCCCTTTGCTTGCTCATAATGAGTTGGCTCTTTTCCTTCTTTGATATTAGCTGAGAAGGCCATGTCTTGTGTAGTGGTAAGGGAAGGAGTATGACAAACATAGTCCTTCATCCAGTGTGGTTGTCTCTTTATTCTTCTACCTTCCTGTGCCACTGGAGCATCATGTGATGTGGAACTCTCAGCTGTGTCCTCAGTGACATGTGAGTGACTTTGTGGAATGGTGGCAGGTTCATCATGTGTCATAGGCAAGGGCAATTCATTGTGCTGTACTGAATTTGCAGTCTTGAAAGGAAACACAGTTGTTTTGAATACCACATCTCTTGAAATAAACCTCTTACCTTCATCAATGTCAAGCAAGACATACCCTTTGCACCCTCTGGCATACCCAAGCAGAACACACTTATGGGACCTTGGTTCCAGCTTTCCTTTTGTGGGATTTGTGTTAACAGCAAATGCTAGACATCCAAAAGGTCTAAGATCATCATAATCAGGTGACTTCTTGTATACCCTCTCAAAGGGTGTTTCCCAATTGATTGTTGTACTTGGCAGCCTATTGACAATGTGAGCTGCTGTAATGACTGCATAAGGCCAATATGTGAGATCCATTCCTGACTGAAAAATTAAACCTCTTGCTATCTCAAGCAACTGTTTGTGTTTCCTTTCCACCACACCATTTTGCTGGGGTGTGTAAACACAACTCTTTTGATGTATAATCCCATGCTCCTGAAACATTTTTTGACAAATTTGTCCCAGAAACTCTTGTCCATTGTCACTTCTGACCTTTTTAACACTTTCACCAAATTGTGTCTTGATCATAACAATGAATCCTTTGAGCAGAGGTGCTGTTTCCTTTTTGTTATTCATAAGAAATATCCAGACTCCTCTACTATAATCATCCACTATGGTTAAGAAGTAGGGAGTATTAGTAACTGATTCATCTCTGCATGGACCCCATATATCAACATGTAATAGTTCAAAGCAGTGTGAAGTTTGTATACTGCTAGATGGAAAGGGTAATCGGTGCTGCTTAGCCTTAAAACACACCTCACAATCTCTTACCTCTTTCTCTCCTGCTGCAGTGCAATGTTTCTTGAGGTGTGGTATCTGTCTCAGGGCTCCAAATGATGCATGTCCTAGTATGTTATGCCAATCAAGTAATGGAGTGCTGTTATGCAAGCTTAATGCTGTGGCCTCTCCTTTACTGTCCAAAACATACAGCTTGTCCTTCAGCACTCCATGTGCAACTTCTGTTCCTGTCATTGTGTGTTTGAAAGAGCATCCCATTGATGTGAATTCACACCTTAGGCTGGATTTTAGACACACTTGTGTAACAGATAACAGGTTATATTTAAAGGTAGGCACCAAAAGAACATCATGTAGTACCAGTTCCCTTGAAATCATAACCTCTCCCACCTTTGTCACTTGCTTACTGGAACCATCTGGCATATAGACTGTTATTGGTGATTGTAGGAATACCACATTGTGCATCATCTCTTCATTGACACACATATGCTTACTTGCTCCAGTGTCAATTACCCAGGCTTTGCTGCTTATTTCATCAAACATGGATAAGGCATAATGTCTATCCTCATCTTTCTTATTTCCAGCAAAGTTCACATACTGTTCTTCCTCTTTATAGAGACTGTTACCTGACATATCAAAGGTACCTTTGCCAAGTAGCTTTGCCACCTCTTGTGCCAATGAGGTGATATCTGGGTTTGAGATACTTTTCACTCCATGAGCCCTTGTGTTTCCTTCAGCCTGCACTACATTTGCAATTCCTTTCCCTTTTTTGAACCACTCAGGATATCCATGAATCTTGAAACAACTAGACCTTTCATGACAACTCCTTCCACAATTGTCACAGATCAACTTTGCCTTTTCTTCCTTTGTTAATCTTTGCACTTCTCTAGTAAACCTCTGATTGTAGAACTGTGGCTTCACATTGTTTTCCTTTCCAAATCCACCATGCTTGGCCACCATAGCCACACTAGGATTAGCATCACCACAGTTAGAATTTACTGTTCTTTGCCTCTCAGCTGACAGAATCATGGAATATGCTTTGCTAACAGTAGGTAAAGGATCCATAAGCAACAACTGATTTTTGACATTGTCATAGTTCTCGTTCAAGCCCATTAGGAACTGCATCAGCTTCCCTTGCATGTGCTGCTCCACCATTGCCTTCCCAATATCACATTTGCATACCAACTGAGGCACCAAGCTTCCTAATTCATCCCACATTCTTTTCAATTTGTTAAAATACACCATAACAGGCTCATGACCCTGCTTATGATTTGCAATGTCTCTCTGCAGCTGAAAAATTAGTGGTCCATTGCTTTCTCCGAACTGTTGACCTATTTCATCCCATAATTCCTTTGCGGTTTCAGCATATACAAAGCTTTCAGCAATATCCTTCGATAAACAGTTTAAAATCCACGAAATCACCATCCAATCCACCTTTTTCCATTTTACGTAATTAACATCATTCTCAGCTGGCACTTCAATTGTACCATTAACAAAGCCTAGCTTTGTTTTTGCACCAAGCGCAATCATCATCGACCGCTTCCAAGCCAAGTAATTAGATCCATTAAGTGGATGAGAAACAAGCTGCAAACCTGGGTTATCAGACGAGTTTAAGAAGAAAGGATCCTCTTCTCGATCTTCAGTGTTACTTACTGCTCGTGCATTCAGCAACGGCCAGGCCTCATTGTATCGATTGTTCGCCATGGGAGATGAGATCGAGCTTCAATGGCCGATTTTGGCTCTGGATACCATGTGAAAACTCAGAGCTAAAATATCAAAGATCAAAAATGTTTTATTTCATATGTGCAGAGAATACAAAGTTCGGCCTTTTATTTACATGCATAGTAGTAAAACGACGTCGCATTCTTAGTTTATCACAAGCACTGCAAAACGATGTCATCTCCTTAATAAAACGGTAAACCAAAAATAAAACGTGAACACGAGTTTTACAAGAGAAAAGGAAAAATCAAATGAAGGCCAGTTATATCTGCACGGCTTCTGCACACACATTTGAACTTGATCTTCTACAATTGGGGACCTAAATTACCTAATATT